TGATTTTATTTATTAGCCAATTTAGGATTTAATATTTAAGTTTAGTTATTAGTTTATTACTTCTTGTTTTGTTTATATTTACTAAAGATATTCAGCAATCTAAAAGAGACTGGGGTTTGTTCTTTGTACATTATTCAAACTATGCTTGGTTATTATATTTAAGCGTTAATAATTTTTAACGGAAATTGTATAACCCTTGTATTAAAATAATATGTTTGTAAAAACATACAAATTATTTACTGCGTCTTTTACATTTGTTTTGAAGTGCGAGATTAAATGGAAAGATCATAGTACAATAATGTTGTCATCATTGTGTATAGGCATATTCCTATATTGACTGGAACTTGTAGAACGTTTGACATAATCAATGGTAGAACATACTGCATATAAGTTGTAAATATCAAAGAAACTTTTACTAAGCAAATTAAAATTTGCAATTTCAACCAGTGAAATAAAAGCAAGCGTGCTTTTCATTTCTTAACTGCAAAGGCAGTCATTTGTCAGAACTGTGAACATCTGCAATGAAAGCATCCTTTGTACAGATACAAAGCTATGACTGCATGATTAAATACTGGCCCCTTAGGCTCATCCGGCCAAATTTGAGATGTGTGTCATGAGCTTCAAGGAGAATGGAGAAAATAGTGACAAGTAAACCATAGAATCATTATCAGCAATCCAACTATAAGTATTAAATAAGCATGTGGTCTTTAATGCAACCATCCTTCTGGTTCGTGACATGTTTTAACAATATTTATGTGGTTTCTTAGAGTTACGCATAAAGTATTTTTTTGTTTTAAATAGCCCAAACTAAAGTTTACCAATTTCATGAAACAGCTTGTGATAAGTAGAGTCGTGTTTTACCAAGGTGTACAATTTTCGCTATACAAACTCAGGGATGATGGTAGCCTTCAAATGCAGCCTAGGCAATGTAAACAGAGTACCCATATTGCGTCATAGACATTGCAGGGGCGAGTTGACTGTCCAGTGGCTGCTACACGCGCTTCACACATCAAACAAGGCTAAAGAGACTGCGAGTGAACAGGTAAATGACACTTCAATGTCCAGGGGGACCCAAAAAGGATATTATCCATTCAAAACTCGAACTCGAAAATTTTGACGAAAACAATACTTTCTCCATATGGTATAGGGGGAGAAAGTAAAAACATTTCAATCAGCTGTTTCAGTTTAAACAAACTGTCAAAACAATGTTTGCTATTATAAATGGGTGATTATCGACTGTAAAATAAATTAATGTTTTATCGATTTTTTGCATATTGCCAGGTTAAAATTCCCATCATAATAGATTGAAATTCCACTGAAACTTAAAATATAAAAGCAAAAAATAGTTGTAAATAAAACGTGAGTTTCCTTGATATTGCTTTTAAAATGGAAACAAAATACACCGAGCCAGGAGCTAATATCTTTTGTTAGAAATGTACTTTGCAATAATATTAATATCTGTGCGGTAAAATATTATGTAGTTTTTTTATAATATTTCAAACTAGTCAGGATATTACGGTATGCAACACAATTATTTTGTAATGAATAAATCATATTCAGACTAACTTGTAATAAATATTACTTAGCCGAAAGTTACACGTGTAACCCTATACTCTCTAGATACAGTACATTTATATTGCTTTTACAAGTGTATTACTGTTTATGTAATGTTATTGTCTTGTTACCGGGAAATCTGATTGAAACACGCTCGGGTGGGCAAATGTAATGCTCAGCCAATTAACATGAAGTTTACATCATTTCGTATAGTAGATTGTATTTTAAACTGTGGTTTAACTTGATGTGATTAGCAATCAGGCAGAACAAATAAATTTTCACCTTCATAAGGAAAAAAACAAAAAAAATCTAAAACAATATATATTGTCGTTATAAATTGAAACTTAAAACATAAAAAACTATCTAAATTTACCGATATATTATGGTACTGTACAGTCGCCTTACATAATATGAATATATTTTAAGTGGAACCCTTTTATTAAACATCTCAAACAAGTTTGTTAGAAAACTTTACTACGTTTATTACAACTAGAATTAACTACGTAGTTCAGACTTAACAAGTGACAAACTAGATTTAAACTTGATTAAATTGACTCAAGTCTCAACGACGAATAGTTTAACAACAGAAGCCAATATCTAAGTGGCCTTGACTTTGAACGCTTTATAACACAATCAGGCTTGCCATAGCCAAGGTCACTGTTAGAAAGTGGTTTACAATAACTTTAACTCCGTACAGTTGGCTGCAGTGTTTTAAGAAATATAGCCCAAACAGCTGCCAAATATATAAATTGAGGCCATTGTTGTTTAGCACTACGTCTTGGTCTTACATAGAATCAATGTTGTTTCCTTTTCCTTGGTTTTTATTTGAGGTTGTCTTTTATGTAAGTTCGCATACAGGGATTTTCAATATATTTTGACTACTGGTTTAACGCAGCGGTATCTATATGCAAGGTACAAATAAAAAATGTAACGTAATATTAAATTTAGTACCAAAAAAGCTTAGTTTTCTATAGATATTAACATGTTTTCCACCACGCCGAGGAAATTTGTGGTCTTGATATACAGCGCAGGACATCAGGAACTATACAAGATTCTTTTAGTTAGTTGTAGAACCAAAGTAGCATTTTACAGGTCGTAGTTGAAAATCAATATATTTGATTCTGTGTCTTAGCTGTTATTTTATTCCGTTAAAACAATTATTTGCGAAAAGGTTGTTGTTACTGAGCCCTTTTATTATCAGGATGAAACCATGGTATTGCGAAGGTTTGTTTATTAACCAACTGTTTCTCTAGACCAAGGTGTTATAATTGTTGGAAGATGTAATTTGCCATTTAGTTATTTTGACACAGTGTTTTTATAGTTTTGTGAAACTTATCCTTCGTCTCTTTAGTCAAATGAGTTCCTTGACCTCGATCTTTCAAAGATACAAAATTTCTTATACTTTGAACACGATATTGAAACTGGAAAACAATTTCTGAACCTGGAGTGAAATATTTTATATTTGTAAGAAGAAAAAAAAACTTAATATATCCCTAAATCTAACTCATACACTATTCGCAAACTAATTAAACATCCATCTAAATAAAAGTTTATCTTGATAAGTAAACATTACATTGAATCTATACACCACTGGCATCTGCATGCCAACATTGGCTCACATGACCAATATGGACAATGCAAAGTCAAGTGGATTTAAAAGCCAGAAATTCCGCTGAGGCAATACTTGTAGTGATAATTTTAAAATGCCTAGCAGGGATATGACTCTTTGACGTTCACTCTACTTATGCAAACACTTATTAACTATTCCTAAACATCTTTTTATAAGATAATCTGCTGTAGTTTGGGTACATTATATTGTTTTTATTAAAAAATAATTCTTGTTTACTGAGAAGTAAAAGTATGCTTGTGATCTAGAAGAAATACAGAAAAAAATAAAGGGCCAATGTTTTGCTACATAATAACGGACTTCAAATTATGAAATTTTATTTTTAGTAGAAGTATTTGCCACTCCTAGAAATATTAATATAATTCAGAAGAGCTTATAGAGTTTTTCATAGCTCTTTAGAATTATGAGTGTAATAAGGAAACAATATTATATTTATGTATTTTTTGTAGGAAACATTCATTATTTTTTTAAGTTGTATTTTTCCCTCATACTCCTGAATCGCTCGGTCAGCATGTCTAGATATTACACTCCGATACATCACCAGTTGCGTAAGCCATTACATAGACAAGTGATGCCACACTACAATAGCCTGAGGCCTGGACTCGACAGACATTCAGCACTGTGTCCATTGTAGGGTTGGGTAATTATTCTATATGAATACCAAGGCTGGCCCCAACGCCTGTGTTCTAGAATCAATCTATTTCCGTATAAAAACTTAAAGTTGTACTTGATTCTTGAAATATTGGAATTACATTTGTGTGATGAGTTGGTGAACTCAAATTAATTCAACAAATTTGAATTATATCATTAAAGGCTTACTCACACACCATTTCTGACGTGTCACATCAGTCTTGTCACAGTAAAAAGAAATATTTTTTAATGCATTTTCTTTATATTCATCCGGCACAGTTCCGACGAAGGTCCGTCAGTCGCTCTGCCGGCGTCCGTCAGTCACATTCAGATTCCTGCCAACCGATATTTTGGCATTATCCGGACGCCTGATGGTCGGGTAATATAGGTATTTGGCATAAAAAAATAGTAATTTGTTATTAATAATGATTGTGTTTATATTTAAAGTACTGTTTGTAACAATTATCGAGATATACGATGAAAGATATACAGGGTGGCTGAAAATTAACTTGCACCCCCTTTAACGTTTTAACTATTTGAGATATTTGAAATCGGATTGCGGCAACTTGTTTTGATATGAAGGGCTACAATAATTATGGTCAGTTTTGAAAATTTTGCCCTTAGGGGTAGCGGGGGTAGGGGGTAGCTCAAAATTTTCAAACAGCAAGTATAGTCGAGTATGGTATCATTTTACAGGTATTGAGGAAATATAACAATTATCTAAAGAAAGTAGAAATCGGACCACTAATAACAAAATGGCAGCTAAAAATCATTAAGACAGTGGTTGTTAAAAGTAAATTTGTAAGGGAGTGTGTTTAATATTTATATCATACTATCAATCATTTTGGAAATGCCTCTTTAACAGTTTTGTTTTTGAATCGAGAAAAATCTGAGTGCAGTTAACACAATACTGTACCAAAAAAAGTCGAAGTATTAACTTAATACACATCTTAGTTTAGATACTAAGATCCGGGACTTTGTAGACATACAAATAACTATACACGTTAACTCCTAACAGTTAGAAAGTTAATAAATTGGTGATCTCAAGATAGCTCAATATGGGCTTAAACTATTTTTTTTCCTACCCACGATGAAATAATTGTAGAATGACACGATCCTTTCAATTATGCAAAGCTCGGCCCTCATGAATGGAAGGGCTCTGTGTGGTCCTTGAGGTTTATATATAAAACACCTCTCCTAGCTTCACCTGCTACCCACATTGAACACGATGAAGCTGGTGAGTACTGTTATTTCAGTTTTTACAAATTAATGTATGTCACCACATTATGTGTATTAGTTTAAAAATATTTCAATGAAAATAACAGCTTAAAACGGTTTTCAGTTTTGAACATATTTAGTTACATTAAAATTAATAGGATAAGTACTTTTGCACACCATTGTTGATGGTTTCGACTAATAAATATGTGAATCAGAGCTTTTCAATTTCAGGATAAACTTAAAAATTGAAAACCTGCAAAAGTTTGAATAGTTATGTTTGTCATTATTTAAGGTCTGCTCAAACGCTCCAGTACAATAATTTGAAATTTAAAACTATTTTAAGACAAACTAATGTTTAACTTGGACAAACAATTTTACCCAAAAACATTTAATAAGAAGACGGACTTATACTGTCCAGGTAACGGAATGTTAACATGTTTACCTACAGGGTAGTTGGCATTACATTACTTGTTATGGTGTTATCATATTGAAGGAATTTGAGATAGTCTAGTAAACCTACTTTGATTGGAAAGGGTTCGCTGTAGTACTGATCTGCGCGGATTGTGATTTTAGTTGCTTTGGAAAGGAGGGCTGAACCCAAAAAATAACCCTATTAAAATTGCCTTGATAGTAATTTCTTAAGCCAATATACAAAATTATTCTTCTACCTTTCAAATCAGCTACAAAAGTACAACGATCTAGGACAAATGGTTTGGTTGAGGTTTGATATTGATAAGATGGGTTAATCAAACTCAATTCATATTTTACCAATAAGATAAACAATGTCGTATTTTGACATATTATGTTTAAACATGGACATTTGTTCAGAACCTCCGTTTTACACAGAATTTGTGGGTCAGGTTTGTCTGATATTTGGCTGGTAGATGGGTTCGTAACTTCAAAAAGTCCTACTTTATTAAACATCACAGGTAAAACTAATGAGTGAGTTTATTGGTTAAGTGTTATTGACCTCATGTGCAATTAATTAGATTTTAATTTGTCAGTTTCTAGTTTCAGACGAGGCAATGTTGGTGAATTTGATATAGAAATAATTTGGACAATCATTAATTACAAGGGTTTCCATTTGCTAGTTACGGTGTTTGTAGTATGTGACAATTTAATGAATATGCAATTACACTAATCATTTGTAGTTAACTACAGGAGTTAACACTACTTTTAGGAATTCAGAAAAACATATTAATTAAAAAAAATTAGCTAAAATACGCTGAAAATATATAAATAACAAGAATTTTTGTAATTGCCTCTGTACAAAATGTCTTTCTCAGTGTACCAAAATGTTTCGGTTGCAATTAATTAGTTAGAGGACACGTCATTTGAATTATCACAGTTGAAAATATTTTTGTTCCAACCATACAAGTTGGATCCCTTATGTTATGTGAGTAGGTTTGAATGATTTTTCATACACTAAAAGTCACTATCTTCTCCTAGTAGTACCATGCTTTAGTGAGCTCAATGCCCCTTAGTGGCGTCGGCTTAAAACCCCTCTTTAATCAAGATACTAGTCTATATCTGTTCGAGAACTATACGGTATATAAGGTAATTAAAAAGATATTAAAACAATTGATCTCTTACAAAAAGTTTAAAAACATGCATTTTCACCACACTATGACGTTTTTAGCTGTTTTACATACTTAATTGGTGTCTGAAAGTTACGTTTTGATGGCCATGCCCACTGTCATCGTCATTTAGGTTTTTACATCCCTAGGACCGCAAAATCAGTTGCCCGCTTTCTTTCTTCTAAAACACGAATGCATATTAAATACACAATCAGTATCCATAGCATTGCAATAAAATTGTTTTATTGGTTTATTGTCACCGCTGCCAAGCAACTATTTTTTATTATTTTTGCTGATTCCTCAAATTATTTCTTCACATAACCTTAAAGTTGTAGTTGTGGTGACTGTCAGTGTGCATTATTATTGTGGTGAATAGTGGTAATAGTGTATACTGTAGTGTAGTGAAAAATAGCGTTCGTACCACGAGCCGAAATGGTTTTGCAAACAAACAAACTGATAACAACTAATATAGATTAAGTATTAATACAAAACCAAGTTGATAGTAACTCATAAAAGCTTAACATAAAGGACGAACTCAATACTGTATAATACCACCAATACTTAATATTCAATCAAATAAAAACAAACAAAACATTAGTAAATCAAATGAGTCATTCTATACAAACTCATAGATTTGTTTGTGTTATGTTTATTTTAGAAGATTAAATAGCAAGTCGTTTGTACAACGAACTCTGTATATTGTCTAGTTAATTTACTTTAGTAGAATGTTTAAAGTCCTTTATATTATGATTTTTTGTTTAGTTTTATATCATGTTAGTATTGCAAATTTGACCTAATACTGTATTTCAAGAGGTTCATGGATTTCAAACGATATACCAAAAGACTTAAGACACTCAGCACATCTTACAAAACGTTGATAATAAATGCTCCAAAGTGGCTGTGCTTAAAATATTTCAAACATGGCTTTGACATACTAAACATAGAATACATTATGTTGTATTCAGTTTTCAAATGTGTTTTATAAAACCATCCCTTAAAACCAGAGATTTCCAATACACTGTAGTTATTTCTTTACAGCAGAAGGATAACATCAACCTTGACAAAGTATTGTTGACTCGTGACTCTCTTGAGACTTATTCTTATGTTAAGCTAACGAATAGAATATTAAACAGTTACAAAGGTTAAGAGAGACATCGATGTAGGAAGAGAAAGAGTGTGACAAAACAAGGAAACGTCAAGGTCTAGACGAATAACGATGGACAAGGGAACCGAGGGAACGAGAAAAGCAACAAAGAGATTCAAAGTAGAGATTTCTTATTTCTTCAAAACTTTCCCCAGAAAATGCGATTTTCTTCTAAAGTATGGTTGATTGTTTTTTTAGGTAAACGCAACCGATGAACACGTTTCGTTTCAAAACTTTTGGGTAATTTTCTTATGTGGCTGCTTATCTTTTTAAGCTAAATCGTGTTGAATGATGGAAACTCAATTGTATAAACAGCCAATTCAATTTGTAACTGTTGTGTTTGTGGGGCTTTTATTATACATAACATTATAAAAAACAAAAAACAAATTTTAAATATAATTTGAAAGTACTCATGCATAAGACATGTAATTAATTTTTCTAAAATATTTTTTTGTGTTTTGATAGTTTGGTTGTTTTTACCTCATTGTGATTTTTTGTATCTGTTTGTAAGGTCGTCAACATTAAAGAATTTTCAAAAGAGATCCAAATGTTTGACTGAATCCGAATCGATTTATAACAATTTGCTCTTTAGATTTATAGTTAACTACAGTTTTCTATCAATCAGCACGTATAATTAAAACCCAACGTGAGCTAAGAAAACTCGTAAATATCTGAGTTTAGCTATTGATCATAACACGTTCTTAAAATTGTCCTTATTTGACGTTTTTGTTGATACGTATGGACTATTTTAAAGTTTCAAGTAATAATTCAAAGACAAAACAATAATGACAATCTTAGAATGGCGTACCACTCAATCTTGCAACCTTTTACCTCAAGTTATGAATTACACTTAAGAGGGTGTAATTGCAGTATCATTAAAAAAGTGCCTTTTTGATAAAATTGTATGATGGTTAGTACGGTTTAGTTTTGATTGACTTATCAATGACTGGACGTCATAATTTTATGTGAAATAGTACGAAAGTATTTTACTAGGCATACGACAATAATACAGATCTAATAGAGATACTATTTACCATCATATATTCAATTTATAATACTTATCTAATATTTAATCATAATACTTATTCATTTGCTCTGCGATATTTGGAATGTTTCCACCAGTTCTAATGATAGAGATGATGAGGAAAGCTGCTTGTGATGTGTTACTCATCAGCTATAATTGTGTCGATGCTTATACACGGGCTATGTTATACAACTCGAACTATATTAATGTCATATAACATGTATTACTGTATAGCTAAAATTACGGCTACGGCTATTATAGTCCATGGAACTAGTGATTTCATAGATACTGGTAGTTATGTCCTAAAGTTAAGTGGTTCTGATTTACCCAACAAATTCTACAACTGGATTGCCTTGCTTTGATCTAGGAGTACACAACACCTTTTACTATAATGATAAACTGTTTCATAATTTAAAATATTATTATTGCGGGAACAAAATAATCTAAAACAGCGGTGTTAAGGAATGTTTCTTTTTCCAAAAACTAACCATAATAGAAATTCATCTTTATTTGATGTTCATTCTTACTTAAATACATACATTTTTGTACATCGGAGGATATCTTGTAGATAACTAGTATTAGTGAAAGGTTTATAAATGTAAACACTATCTAGGTAAGTTTATGTTTGACATTATTATGTATAATTTAATATGTACTAAATTGTGTTAGGTTTTGTAAAGGATTGCCATGGAGCTCTCTCTACTACATGTCTAATATTGTATTTTAATCCTTTTTCTTCATAAGAGTGGTGGTCAGTTATAAAAACAAATTCTGTGCTATTTCTTTGTATTTTTTCCAAACACCAGACAAGTAATGAAGATAACTAACAGTCATGTATTTATCTTACTCAAATATTATTTTAATGAGTACTTGAAATTGTATAATCCATTTAAAAATTTAGAAATTATTATAGCTTAATGTCGTTAAAAAAAAAAACACTATTTCTTCGTATACTTTCTTATTCCACCCTGTTTTAAAATTCAATATAGATTTTAACAAAATATTCAGTTAGTTGTTTAAAAGTCGTAGTTAATTAGATATACTGTTAACATTATTTTTATGAAACATTTTGTAATTATTTTGGTTTTTTATTTGATTACAGATTATCCTGGCTGCCCTCCTCGCCATGGCGGCCGCCTACCCTCCTGTACCCCTAGTGCCCAAGTACTACCCGGCGCCCCTTCACTACCCAGCGCCACTGATAAAGGCGCCACTACCCCTCGCGCACTACTACCCCGGATACTACCCCTACTTCAGGGCACCTTACCCCTTCTTGCACTGATACTGACCATATCTGACCTGGATTTTACAAGGCTTCTGACTACCTTAGTTCTGATTTTTTACATTTTGTATCAATAAATAGTTTTTAGTTGGCATCGTTGTGTTATTACTTATATAGCAATAGAATAAATAGATAATATACGAGAGGAAAGGATAGTAAAAGGGATATAAATTATACAATCTAACAGTATAAATATAAAGGTCAATTATAAATGTTAGTTATAATTGGTGATTACTGTTTTCTTACAGAAAACTGAAAAATTGCAATAATAAAAACAAAGAAATATTTACCTACCACAGTAGGCAAAAGTGGAAGTATAATAATAATTTCCAAGATTCTTGCTGTGAGATTAACATTATTTCAGGTACTGTGATTACTTTTATCGTGCGTCGTTTGAAAATAAAAGGTTTACGTGCACGAGGTTGTATTAAAAATGAAAATCCTTTATAAGAAGAACTATAACGTATCCTTATTATGATTTTTGAAAGCATATAAACAAATCGTGTTCTGAAAACGGACATAACAAGTTTATAAAGATTAAAACTTTAACGTTAAAACCAGTAATGTTGTCATTAAATGTTAAATAACTAAAAAAAGATCGTATGTGCATGTATCCTATACATCCTATATATGTGTATGTATGTATGTTGGTGTTTTTAACCAAGGGGGCATTAAAAAGCCAATAAATGATGACAAGAATGTTTTAAGATACTGTCTAATTATGTTGTGTTGAAACAAATAATCTTCTTTCTCGTATCGGATTTATCAAGAAACATTTTTCATTGGAAAGAAAAGAAAAGAAATATAAAAAATAATGACGATGTTCTCAAAAATTATCGTAGTTTACATTGATAAAGAAATACACTCATGCATCTATTACAAAAAAGTGAAATAGCCTTAAAATTATTACAATTTACTTTTTGAACGTGAAATAAACCAACGTTGATAAACGTAATAAAAGGAATTTGAGGAAGTGTTTTTGCTGTTCATTGACGTCCGTATTGAAGGAAGACACTCTTTCATGTGACCTTTAAGGAGACAACATTCTGGTGATCACACAAACCTCTAGTCAGTGGGCGTTTGTTCAAAGGAACGTCGTTTTACTCCTTTTTAGACGAAATAATTGCAATTTTTCGGAACTATGACGTGGTTACAGCTCCATATGACGTCATGTCCATGACCTTATGTAGATAAAAATGTCGCATTTATTTTTACTCAGTTATTTAGTGACGGCGTTTACAGGGTTGCGTCATAGGTGCGGTGTTAAGGAACAGGACTCAATGTAATCAGTTTTGACAAACGGCTGTAGTTAATGTAGAAATTATGTACAGTGTACACGTGAAGACTTTTGAGACAATAAGTTTATACATGGCACAGTTTGTTACCGTTTTTAAGAGTAATTTATTTTGATTCATTACATAAATGTTGTACTAAAACAATTCGATTCTAGACAAAAGTCCAATAAAGTAGTGGAACCTCAATAGCAAGTATATTTCAAATCCACTAGAAATAATAATTTTACTCCTCATCATATGTTATTAAAAATCTTGCTAAGAAGCCAGCCTTGATAACAAATCTTATTTAGTGATCCTAATGACAGTCTTTTTATTGAGGTTCCTTGTTATTTTTTACTATTTTGGAAGGGCACAGGCCAATTCTTGGTCTCGTTAATATAGCATCGAACTTTCCTGATATATAGCTTAATTAATTAATAGCCCAATGAGAAATCGTATCTGGTCTGGAAACTATCTCGCTTGGAATCGAACCAGAAGCCTTCAGGGTTAAAGGAAAGATCTATAAGCACACGGTTACCCAGGAAATCACTTTTAGAATTTGTCAAACACAAGAAATCCCATAAAACAAAATTCCTTTCTCATAAAACGGACGGAGCTTACATGTAAATTGTCTTCAACCCGTTAAGGATTACAAATTTGAAGAGACAATCTATGGTTGGTGTTAGACGGAAGCCCCTATGTGTCACAGCATTTATACTTCCAACCCTATATATTTAGCATGGTACTTCTAAACATAGCAGCCCAAAAGTGCTGTTGTGAGGTCCCCCTCCATGTTGTGTATGTGTGAGGTAAGGTGCCTCTGCACTTGACACGAAATCCTGTCATAGTCATACCTGTTGTGAGGGAGGGGGGAGGTAGGGGTGACTGCATCATATTTGCGTACATGATCATAACCGTAACATCTGTTCTGTAATACGTAATACGCCTACGCAACGTTGCCTTATAGCATTCTAATAGTGTATGCATTTGGGTTAACCGGGTAAATGCTACATAGTTGAAAGATCATACCCGTCTGACAATCAAAGGGATCTGGATTCTAGCTTAACATATATTAGTACAGTATTAGTTCTATATTTTACACGTAGATTTTAATACCTTTCGTAAAAAAAAATAGTGGACTATGTTATCATTTACTTGTTATGTACACTAAGTTAAATAGAGTATGTTTAAGAGTGTTGTTAGGGCCTAAACCTAAAAATATATTAATTCAGCCATTAAATTACCTTTTCATCCGTCCCAAAAATGTGGTGCTACTAACTTGAATTTGCCGACAAGAAACAGCTGATACTCTACGCTACCCCCTCCCTCAAGGACAGGACGACGCCACTTGCACTCCTGAGTCCTGACTCCTGCAGTGACTGGCCGCCCCTACCTACACGCTAGTGCCCACCGGCACTATGATTTGTCACCTATGTACTACATATATGTTTTAATATACAAGTTTACATAACAGTCTAGCCAGTATATTATTTCCTCGGCATCTTCGCCCTCACGCTGATCCTGAACGAGACGCCAGATCCACGCTCCACGCTGCTACCAAGGAACCCCGCTCGTCTTGAAGACATCTGTAGAAGGTAGCACCACACCACACATATCTTACTAAAAAAATAAGTTTAATTCCACCCCCAACATTGGTCCTTTACGAGCCCGATAAAATTAAAAGTTTGAACTAAACGCTTTGTTTTAAATATTACAGTCCATTTAAAATCATAAAAGTAAGGAATTATATTATTGCTTAATTTGTGTAAAAAGAAGGCAGTAAACTAATAAAACTGTTTTATTAAAAGTACTAATCAGTATTTAATTAGTTTAGCTTTGACATAAAGTTTAAGTTAAAGAGGTTTTGCTTGATTATTGTTGAGACAGGTTAGTTCAGGTCCCGTTCGGAACGCCGCCGCCTATTGTTTGCTTATCGTTACGCGTCCGCTAGTTGCTTATCTCTTTCAACAATTTGACTGTTATTATTTCATTCATTATTTCCCCATTTGTAGATTATAGTAGTGTGTTTTTAATCTAATTTACAACTGTCAATTATTCATTCTCGTACACGTGTGTTATTTTGTTTATTTACAGCAACGGTCTAAACGTAATTTTTAATCGGTAAATATTCATTTATTCTACCATCACCTTTTATCCTATTGATTCCTGTACATTGTCAGCTTAACAATGGCCACTAAAGAGAATAAAGCAAAAATGGATTCACTGATAAAGAAGCGAGAAAAGTACTTTGCTAGACTTCAAGCGCTTTATGACGTGGGTAAAAAATGTTTAGAATTGGCTCAAAAGAAGCAACCTTATCAAGCTGAACTTGATCACTTTGTTTCCCGATATAATAGAATAGAGGATGATTACTCTGTTTTTGAAGATATTAGTGATGACATTACCATTATTAACTCTGATCTAGATGATAGCGATAAGATCGAGGTACACAAAGTCTCAATGAGTTACGATGAAATGTATTTTAACTTAAAATCTCTTGCTCGCAAAATGCAGATTGAGCAACCCAAAACGCAAACCTCCGGCAAATCTGAAGCCACACCTACGCAACCCCCGCAATCTGCCCCTCAGGTAGCTGAGTTACCAAAAATTGAAATTGAGCCGTTTAATGGTTCGATAGCTGATTGGCCGAACTTTTACGCTTTGTTTAACTCTCTAATACACAAGAATCGCTCTCTCTCAAAATCAGAAAAACTAACTTATCTACGTAGTCTACTCAAGTCTCACGCTCTCTCTCTAATAGAAAATTTAGTTATATCTGAAGAAAACTACGATATTGCTCTACATCAGCTCATTCAGCGGTATCAAAACAAACGTCTACTCGCATCTAGATAAAGTGTTCTCGTTCCGAGCTCTCACAGAAGATACTGCCAGTTCATTAACTAGTTTTCTAGAAGTATTTAATACCAATCTCTCCGCTCTCAAGGCCCTTGGCATAGATGATTTGTTCGATTTTACTATGCTTCATGTCGCATTGCGTACTCTAACTCCAGGTACCCGTAAAGACTTCGAAAGCGAACAGACAGACAAAGAAATCCCTAAGTTTGAAAACCTAATTCGCTTCATAGAACAACAGCTTAAAATCCTTGAAATAACGAGTACTAAAACTAAGCCTAAGCAGACTAGGACTCCAAGCAAACCGTATAGTAACAAAAATACGATGCTATCTACTACCGTCAATGATAACAGCAATCATAAATGGCCTTCAGCACTAAAATGTGCCTTTTGTCAAGATACATCACATAAAATCTTTGGTTGCACAAAGTTTAAGGAACAAAATGTGTCCAGTCGTAATGACTTTGCTAAAGCAAACTCTCTGTGCTATTGTTGTTTGGGTTTTCACAGAATTTCCGACTGTAAGTCCAAATCTAGATGTTCCAAGTGTTTTGGTAAACACCATTCTCTCCTTCATCGCCAAAGAGATTCATGTTATAACAATGTCACCCGTAGTCCTAAACCATCCGATAATGTTACATTGCCGTCTAGCGACACTGTAGAAAAAACTTGCAGCTTTGCTAACTCGAAAACCTCATCTAATATGCTACTGAGTACAGCAGTCATTGGAGTTAAAGATCATCATGGTAAACTATTACCAATAAAGGCTCTTATAGATGGAGGATCTCAAACTAGCTTGATCACCGAAGAATGCGCCTCCAAACTAAATCTAAAAAGATATTCTAACAATGTAAACCTCATTGGAGTAGCTGAAACATCCGTTCCCCTCAATAAAGGATTAGTTCATTGCGTTATCAGTCCACTCGAAAATACCAGCATTGTTCTAACAACAGATGCAATTGTTGTCCCTAAAATATCGTCAGACCAACCGAACATCCCCATTGACTCATCAATACGCTCAAAGCTTCATCATTTAAAACTCGCAGACCCATCATTTGACGTATCATCCCCAATTGAATTCCTGATAGGAGCGGACTTGTATTTTGACATCCTTCAGGAGTCAAGCAACCTAATTAAAGGAGAACCGTCTGCGATAGCTACTATATTTGGTTGGGTAATAGGAGGCAAAGTTATCAACGAAATTCCATTGAATGACTGGTCCTCAATGTTGATTTGTAACAACACTCTTGATGCTCATCTAACCAAATTCTGGGAGATAGAATCTGTCAACAATGTAGTAAGACCCAATCCTGAAGATGAAGCCACAGAAGAAAGCTTTATAAAAACTCACAGAAGAGACACTAATGGAAGATACATTGTGTCCCTCCCAACTAAGCCTGAAGCTCCATCACTCCCTCAAAGTAGCGCTCAAAGACAGCTAGTGACTCTAGAGCAAAGACTAAAACGCAATCAAGAGACGTATGAAGAATATAGAAGCTTCATGGACGACTATATATCTCAGGGACATATGAGTCTTTGTTTAGAACCATCCAACTACATAATTCCTCACCATTGTGTTCGCAAAGAGGACAGTTCTACAACTAAACTAAGGACAGTATGCAACGCTTCATTCAAACCTAGTGGATCTAGTTCGTCCCTAAACGATATATTGTACAGTGGTCCAAAACTACAGAAGGATATCGCAGAGATAATAACCAATTTCCGATTGCATTCTATCGTCGTTTGTGCAGATATCAAACAAATGTACAGAAACGTGCTAGTAACAGAAGAACATCGCAAACTCCAGCACATATACTATAGAACTCATCGAGATGGTCCCATAGAAGAATACGAACTCAACGTCTTAACATATGGCGTAACATCAAGTGCATTTTTAGCTCAAAGAGTTTTGCTACAGCTAGTACAAGACGAAGGCCAGAAGTATCCCCTAGCATCTAAAGCCATTATAAACCAAACTTTTGTAGATGACATCTGCGTCAGTGTTGACACTATTAACGAAGCTCTAACCTTGCAACAAGAACTTATAGACCTACTGAACCTAGGAGGATTTTCGTTGCGCAAATGGGCTAGCAACTGTAAGGACGTACTAGACACCGTGCCTTTAGATCATCGAGAAAAGCCTCTAAGCATCAGTTCAGAAAATGAAAACTATATGAAAGTTTTAGGTTTGCAGTATAACCCGGATGACGATACATTCTCGTACATAATTCATCTCAACCCCCTAGTGTACACAAAACGCTCAATGTTAAGTGAGATGTCCAAAATCTACGACATTTTAGGTTGGATTACTCCGTGCACATTCTATGTGAAAAATCTTATGCAAAGCATTTGGTTGCTAGGATTAGGATGGGATGACGAACTTCCTACTGAGATCTGTAATAAATGGGAAACATTCATCTCTACTCTTCCAGAACTGGCTCACCTAAAGATTCCGAGACACATACCCATTGTTAATGCCACTAACATTCAGATCATAGGATTCTGCGATGCATCAGCGAAGGGATATGCCGCCAATTTGTATTTACGTACAGAACATACAGATGGAGTTAATATACATCTCCTCAAAGCAAAGAGTAAAGTCGCTCCTTTAAAGATCATTAGCATTCCACGCCTCGAACTCTGTGCAGCACAACTTCTCGCCCACTTCATCCTCAAGATACGCTGCTGTTTACCGACTCCTCTGTAGTACTTTCTTGGTTAAAAATACCACCTTATAAGCTCAAAACCTTTGTTGCAAACAGAGTAGTAGAAATACTTGACGAAACGAATCCAAGTCAATGGTATCATGTTATCTCCAAAGAAAACCCCTGTGACATTGCAAGCAGAGGCTCTCTGCCTAAAGATTTAGTAAACTCCGATCTATGGTGGAAAGGCCCTCAGTTTCTATATGGACCTATATCCAATCTCAAAGCACATACTAATCCAGAAATCAGCAATGATTTGCCCGAAATAAAACTCGAGAGCCTTATGATAACTCAACAATCTCCTAACATAGTATTGGACATATTAGAGAAATCGTCTAGTTTGTCTAAAGCTAAATTGGTTTTAAGTATTTTACTCCGCTTCATTAAAAACTTGAAGAACAGGATAGCACAGCAACCACCACTAAAAGGTCCTACAACACCAGAAGAACAAAATAATGCTCTCATACGATTTGTAAGATCTACCCAAGAATGTCACTTGTCAAAGGAAATAATAAGTCTCCAAACTGGAAAACACGTGTCTCCCAAGTATCGACCTCTAGCCTTGTTTCTAGACGATGATGGGCTTGTTAGGGCGGGGGGACGCTTGAAAGATTCGCTTCTCCCTTATCCTGCAAAACATCCAGTTCTTATTCCCAAGTCTTCACGTCTCGCAACACTTATATGTGATCACTATCACATCCTCTCTTTACATGGAGGTCCACGGCTCACTCAGTCTTTGATTCAAAGGCAATTTTGGATAATAGGTATTCGTCAACTCCTGAGAGAGAGAATATTTAGATGCAACAAGTGCTACTTATTTCAGGCGAAACCACTCACGCCAAAAATGGCAAACCTTCCTCCAATAAGGTTCGAAAATGTGCGTGCATTCTTGAATGTTGGTGTTGATTATGCCGGACCCTTTGATTTTAAAGAAGGTTCAAGAAGAAAGGCTCCCATATCAAAAGGATACATTGTCATAATCGTTTGCTTAGCCACAAAAGCAGTTCATTTAGAGTTCGCTACTAGCCTATCAACTGCCTCATTTCTCGCTGCATTTGACCGATTTGTAGCGCGCAGAGGACTGTGCAAAACAATATACAGTGACTGTGGAATCAACTTCCAAGGTGCTTCAAACCACTACTTACGTGTTCAACAATTCCTCAAAGAAAATAATGAACATTTCACTCATCAGCTCAGCAAAAAGGAAATTAAGTGGATTTTCATTCCCCCTGCTGCACCCCACTTTGGAGGAATTTGGGAGGCTGCAGTTAAGTCAACCAAACGTCATCTCTCCAGAATCTTAGTAAATCTGAGTCTAACGTACGAAGAAATGTCTACACTTCTCTACCGCATTGAAGCCGTTCTCAACAGCCGTCCTCTTGGATCAATGACGACCGACCCCAACGATGGAGATTACCTCAGCCCAGGACACTTTTTAGTAGGTGCCCCACTCATCTCACCTCCAGAACACGACTACACCGATACGCCAATGAATAGGCTTACAAGATACGAGCTTCTTCAACAGGCCACACAAGCTTTCTGGAAGGCCTGGTCCAGAGATTACCTCCATACCCTGATCCAGCTAAACAAATGGACAACCACTCAACCCATTATCAACATTGGTGATATAGTTTATCTTCAGTTGAAGAACACTAGTCCATTAGAATGGCCCATAGGTAGAGTTGAAGTTACTTACCCAGGAAAAGATGGAGTAGTGAGAGCAGCTAAAATAAAAACTACTCAAGGCACATTCACAAGGCCAGTGCACAAGCTGATATCCTTCCCGCCTCCTGACCATAACCTTTAAATTGATAAAACAACGGTGTATTTCGTTTTGCGTGTGTTAAACTAAAATTGTTTCGTGTTTGTGTGTTAAAGCTAAATATGTTATCTTTTTTTCGTTTCAAAACTATTGTTTTGGGTGAGGGGAATGTTAGGGCCTAAACCTAAAAATATATTAATTCAGCCATTAAATTACCTTTTCATCCGTCCCAAAAATGTGGTGCTACTAACTTGAATTTGCCGACAAGAAACAGCTGATACTCTACGCTACCCCCTCCCTCAAGGACAGGACGACGCCACTTGCACTCCTGAGTCCTGACTCCTGCAGTGACTGGCCGCCCCTACCTACACGCTAGTGCCCACCGGCACTATGATTTGTCACCTATGTACTACATATATGTTTTAATATACAAGTTTACATAACAGTCTAGCCAGTATATTATTTCCTCGGCATCTTCGCCCTCACGCTGATCCTGAACGAGACGCCAGATCCACGCTCCACGCTGCTACCAAGGAACCCCGCTCGTCTTGAAGACATCTGTAGAAGGTAGCACCACACCACACATATCTTACTAAAAAAATAAGTTTAATTCCACCCCCAACAAGTGTACTGATTGTAAAAACTGAACATGTGTTATTTATTTAAACTAAATATTTGAGTTTGAGTAAGATTGGCTTTCCTTTACTTATTAATTTATCTTATTTTGAACTCAGATAAAAAAAATGAAACTTCCAAGCGGGCATAGCCTTGGAGGCCCTATATTTCTCTTCTGTATGTAGCACAAATAATAGAATCAAAATTTGTACGCCATAAAACTATAAGCTGATCATCAGTGTTTGTCTTAGACTTTCCAGAACTGACTGCATAAATTGTACAAGTATGTAAACAGAGAAAATAAATTCATTATTTCATTATTATATAGGTTAGACGCCAATACGCCAATTCGAACAAGTGATATGCCGGCTTTGTTACTGACTTGATCAACTGGCTCATTAGCCAGGACCGTTTATTAAAAGCCCAAACACCAAGGACATCAGGTTTTATATAATAAAAAGCTTCTGACTTTTCTTGAGATCAAACTGGTAACCATCTGCTTTCCAGGCGACACAATGTCCCCTCAGCTACAAGGCTATATAAATATTCCTCATGTTCCTTGTCCAAGGGAGTTTTCAATTAATATTCATAGCTAAGGCTGTACAGAATATCCACTTCCATTTTACGCTCACCTAGGTATGAGTTATACTATAATTACGATAGTAAAAACTATTTTAAAAGCACTGAGATGAACAGAAGTCTTTCATAACAAAACACACTTGAAGAGGGGAATTGTTAAACACATATTAAAATCTTACTGCTTGGTCTTCTGGTTGGAATAAAACGGCTGAACCATTTGGCCAACAAATACCTTAACTATTGTAACTCTTGCAAAATTTCATGTTATTAAAAAAGCTTGAACGTTTTAAATAAAATATAATGATTTTAGCTACAATAATTTTACTTATAGTAGAGTCATTTAGGTTTGCTGATTCTACATATTCTGGAGCTAAGCGGTAAAAAGTAAAACTAATTTGTCGCATAAGCTCAGTTTAATGCAACGGATGCAAACTATTGTGGAAACTATACGTTCATAACAGCGACATATCAATTATATCTATACTTCTTCATAATGGGGTATCTTTAAGTGAAATACAGTTAAGTATTCTCTTTTAAATTTTTATTTATGTACTCTCTTATTATGCACTAGTATCCTGGAAGACTCTTAAATTTGCCATTATTTAATTATTATTATTTATAATGTTATCAAAACTATTTATTAGATGTTCTACCTGTATTTTAACACTAAACAATAAATAAATAAACTAACTGAGTTGTAACACCCTAAAGTAACATGTAATCTTGAATTTGTCTTCGTTTGAATAACTCTTTAAGCCCCTCACCGATTTAAAAGTTTTAATTTTAAAAAGTCTAGCAGCTGACGTTGTTATTAATTTTAAGTTTGTTTCAAAATTATTTGGTTTAACTGACAGCTGGTTTCAAACTGTCACTAAAATGTTTACGTTACAAGATGGTTACAAAGATTTCGATCGTCGGTATTCTGTGTATAGTCAATAGCACGATTACTAAAAAAAAATACGGAAGGACGTTGTCACTTCTTCCGAAGGTCATCAAAGTTGACAAATGATTTACATACATAAAAACGTTTCAAAAAATTAAAAAAACACGTAACACGCATGCCTAGGCCTAGCTTTAAAGACGTGACCGGTGGGAGTTTACGTCTAGACTCCCGTTTAAGTCTAGACGTTAGTTTAAGTCTAGACGTAAACTCCCACCAGTCACGTCGTTAGTTATTTATAATTTTCTCAAAACTATTTATTAGGTGTTCTACCTGTATTTTAACATAAAAAAATAAAATTAACTGAGTTGTGACGCCCTAAACTAATATGTCATCTTGAATTTATCTTCGATTAAATAACTATTTAAGCCCCTCGCCGATCCTGTCTTCCTGGTTTTTGAAATGAAAAAATCCCAATTTAAATATAAAAAATCATTTTTAACCGAAGTAGATATTTTCAAGGATTTCCACTTTGATTAACCATTTCCCAGAACGTTCTAGGGATTTGTAAGGATGCTGTGAAGGAGCAAGTTACACAGGAAGTCACTAAGTGTTGCTTAGTGCTTTAATAACCTGTTGGACAAGGTACGTCGTGACTCTACGTACACTCACACACATACACACACACACACACAACACTAACACGTACTAATGTCAAGGTTAATTCAAACAAACTCTGTAGCCCAGTTTTTACCACAATGCGCTCAAGAATGGACTTACACGTAAGTACTCTGATTAAGTTAACTGTTGTTTGTAATGTATAAATCAATTGCATTTAGCAAGTAGCTTAAACATTATTAGAACAATCAATGTAATATAAAAAAGTTATAATATCTTTATTTACATTTTGCTTTCTTTTCAACTAAAACAATTGTGTATTTTTATTACGTAAAGTTCATTATGAAACATATTTCTCCCTACAAAACCCATACATAGTTTATTCAGCCATCCATAAAAAACTTGTTAATAAAGAAATAGTAAACGCAGTTTAGAATGTGTCTCTACTTCACTGCTCGACACGAGCTTTCAGGTTTCTTTATCAACTTCAACCATCTCGATTGTTGAATGAAAATAAAACGACAAAAATATAACATTGCAATGCCAAAAATGCGAGTATCATGTGCAAATTTTCCGCAAGGAGATTCCAATGTCCTTTGTAAGATTAGTCTGTCGTCAAGGAGTTGGTGACGTCATTGTCCAGGAAGGATTTCTTTATTTGGACAACATTCTTTCTACAATTTTGTGTGAATGTTTTGTGTAATTTTAACTTCTTATATATTAAAACGTGAGTTTTTTTCAAGATACTGAATAACCCAATTGACAGATTTATGGCCTGAATCGATCTCGCTTGGAATCTCAAATTTTAATGCTAGCATTGTATCCACCTAGCCACCCAGAAAATTGAATAACTTGGACATTCAACTAAATGTAAAATAAAAAAAAATAATAAAAAGGATTATTTAATAAACATTAACATTTAGAAATACAAAATAGATCACGAAATGGAATGATATAATCAAAGATTGCAGCTTATACAATTCTTAGATTGCACTCCAATGCTTAAACGTAGTTTAAAACGAATAATTGTCCGTTCTATATTAGTTCAATAAGTAGTAGAATAAAATTGCATGTTATTAGTTTTACATATGAAAGCCCTGATTCAATAATCTAGTGCAGCTCAAAGCATGGATGGTAAAAGCTTTTTGATCGCTACTGCAATATCTTATAAGGTAACATCTCCAATATATCACTAGAAATTCAAATGATATGATCCGTGTTAATACTGGCTGTCTGCGTGTCATAGCATGGCCTTTTTACTTCCATATTAGGTTGATGATTGATAAGGTGTAGGCATATAGTGTAAAAATTAATATTGCGACTCTATCAAGCAAAAATATATATATTAGAAACAAATAACTATACAAAAAAGCTTAAGGATGGGAGGTACCTCTACCATGAAATCATCATGAGATTTTAGTTGATGGGTTATAACAGTTACTATAACTTACCATAAGTCATTCCCTAAGTTTGACTTGGTAAAACGATTTAAGTAGTTGGTAGAATTTAGTAATTTAGATCAGCGCAATCTGTAGGTGGCTCACATCAACTACGACAATTTTGATAAAAGATCTGGCTACACATTTAACATGGGGATGGAATGTCTAGTTGTATTAGTAGTCAAATCGGCTGATTCGTTTTTTAACTTCAAGTTCCTTCGAAAAACTTCATGGTAGAGTATGTCAAAATAGCAATGTTCAGTAAGTTTATTTTTCAGATGAGATTAATCATCGCAGAATCTCTACTGTGTATCGCTTTCGTGAGTGGAGCTAGTCTTGAAGCATATCCTCACATCGAAGGAAACCTTCCCTATCCTGGGTACGACTCAAGGACACTAGAACTTCCTGGGTATCCAGGACCAGAGCAAAACTTTGCCTACACGGAGGTCATGACTCCGTTCTACCACTACTACTTCTACGCTCCTGCTTTTAAAACATCTCCAACTGAAGATTTTAGCCAAAGTAACTTTCACAACTCTTGGAGGACTCCGGAGAATGGAATCTTTATGCAAGATAGAAACTCACTTCCCCCTAAAAACATTAATAATGGTTACTACCCAACGATAAACGATGCTAGCGACCAAAATGAAATACTAACACCTGATCACAAATTTAGATATCAATTTTTACAAAATCCATACTCTACAGTATTCACACAGGCATCATACAATCCCTCTCAAACTCCTTCCTTTTCCACGACATTTCTGCCAACAGTGCTTGCATCAGGTACTCCAAACATAATCAGGAATGAGGATCAAGGAAATGTCCATCATGACCAATCTCAAATTTACGCTTCTTCATACAATGATCACATACCTCATACTTTTGAGCCGAACCCATCGTATAAACCAGATCGAAACCCGTCTCTTTTTTCCGCTTCTCCTAACATCATCAGAGGTGAAGTACCTTCAGTCAACAAACTTTTCAAGCCTGTTTCGAATTCAAACAAACATAACAATAATAATCCGGTTTCTTCCCCCCCAACATATAGATTTTCATCGTCCATCACTCCTTTGAATGGCGTTAACCGTTACAACTATTTTACAACAGTTCCGCCAACTATGTCACCTATTTCTTCCTCAACACCATCAATTCAATCGAGTTTATTCCCAGATTATGGAGTAGAGGAAACCATTAGCCCTATTTTCACAAGTCAAACTACACTTGAAGGTTCCACTTCTCCGCCCTTAATTTCTCAAAGTGCTTCTTCTCGAGGACTTTTGGCGAATGCCCTTGAAGCTCAGCGAGTTTTATTTGAAGCACCCGGACACCCAGCTCCACCTTAAATAGAGAATTTGTACATGAGTGGATGTAATAAATGATTTTTTATGATGATCCATCATGTTAGAACTCCTAAAAACTATATCACATCGAATAAAATTAGAACAAACCTAAAAGTATTGTAAACAACATGAAGAACACTAGTACTTAAATTGATAGTTAAATCTAGTAAAATAGTTTATGAACACACAGAACTAGGTCCTATAAAGTTTCATAGAAAGTTTTACCTGTAAACAGTAGTAAGAAAACTTGCCTCGTATCAAGTGACTAAACATGTGTGACTAAAACCACTTTTACACACACCCTTTTACGCATAAATTACCACATAAGACAAAGAATATAGCAAAATACGTTAAGTTTGTTAATTGTTATGGTAATAAATTATGTTTTCGAAAGCTGTTTATTATTTGAACCTAAAAAAAAATTAAGTCAAATATATTGAATTATAAGCTCTTAACATAGATACGTAATTGCCTTGAAAAATATGGTAATAGAAATGCTGAGTTATATATTACTTAGGTTACTGTATGACCGTTATTACGCGGAAAAGTATGGCAGAGAAAAACGTATATAATGTATAAAAATCTATTGCACTAACTCGTACTAAGCAAACAACAAACATATAATTTTATTGTATATGGATAGTTTCATAAATTTTGTTTAAGATTAACAATTTTTATTCAAGTTCTTTCGACTGCAGGTTACAAATAATTTCTGCAAATTCTAAAAGACAATTAAAACTTCAGAAAATAATGAAATACTACACATTGTACATAAATACTAAATCATAGATTGTAGTATTGGTTTAAATACAGGAAATGCGACAATAGTAATGACTTGTTGCACAGTTCCACTCCTACAGCTGATCATCAGCTGACCAAGGTCACCCTCATCAGCTGATCAGGTGATTTCATCTCCAGCTGATATAAGTACAGTGCACACTACAGCAGTTCCTTGGGACTGTTAAAGTGTATTCTTGCTGAGTAGTTTAATGCGAATCAAGACATTTTCATCAAATCAATTTTTAAAATCAAATTAATTTTACTTTAGTTTGATTTCAAATCAAATAAATTTTTTAAATCAAGACAATTTTAATTAATGAGATTTTAGAATTTATAAAGGTTTGATTAAGGTATAGCCTAGTTAGTCATACTAGTGTACCTGTTGCTCGAATTCGAGCAATTGCTAAGTATTAACTTACAGGCGTTATTTTAAAACGAATAACAGTCATAATTTCTGATGACTTTAAAAGATTCGACTCAAAGATTATGGAAATACTCAAGATGTACATAAGAGTTTTTCCACAAAATAGCCTTACTCATATCCGTATTGCGTTGACCACAATAACGATTATAAATATATAAAAAAAAACATTATTTTTTATTTCCTCTCCTTGGTGATGTTCCATGACTTACCTTTGTTCCCATAGTTTGCAAATTTAAAATAGTAAATATAAAAAGTAAATGTTTGTAGGAAACCGTTAAATTAGTAGAGTTATTGACTGTTTACAATTAACATATGTTCTTCTTCTCACTTTTAATTTCTGACAACAGCTGTAGTTTCATAACAATTTTTGTTTCCCATTTAAATCTTATGGAGGAATACGAAATTTTAAAGGGTCTCAGGGCCTCACTCTCTAATTATTTCCCTAAAAAGAAAGTTTTATGCACAACTTTACGTTACGCTCTTTCCAATGACACCAAAAACAAGTCAATTGGTTCAGTAGTTTTGGAGGAGTAATTGTCATAAAAACCCTGCTTGCGTATTAAATAAGTATAGATTTTTTACATAAAAATATGATATACATACACTTGTATACAGTGTAATTGAAAGGTCCCGGAACGGTGTGATACATTTTTCACATTATAGATAATGTAATAAATATTGGTATATCAATAACAACCATAAATGTCAACTCTTTCAAGCTATTATTACTTTTTAACCTCTTAAGGGGGACGGCTTACGAGGAGTAAGACAAATTCCTAGAAAGCAGCATAGCTCAAATTTGATATCAAATAGACGGTATTATTTATTTAAATACATTGCCAAAAACCCGAACTCAAACGGGCAACCAAGTCAAAAATGGCAGCCGTTCAAATATTTCTTGAATCTGCCATTTTGAATCTTTGAACGGCTGCCATTTTTTACCCAGTCCTTATTTAGAGTTGTGGGCACGTAACGGATTTTGGCCGAAAAAAGTAAACCCTTTGTCTGAACTCTCTAAAATTAGATCGTGGTAGTTTATATGCTTTCAGTAACTAACTAGTCTAAAAGCTGTGTAGATATTAAAACCGAAGTAGATATTGTATACTTGACATAACAAAGTATCTAGCCTATAAGATTTTAAAATAGCGTATACCACTTGTCTGCAAAATGAAACTGTAAAATCATCTTATAATTAATCATAATAGTAAATAGTGTATCCGTTGGAAATAGTTATTTGTGCAACTAGTGAGCAAAGGGAGCATTTGACTCACTCGAGAGAAATACTTTACTCACGAGCCGTAGGCGAGTGAGGAATGGTTTCTCGGGTGAGGCAATTGCACTTTGCACTCGAGTTGCACATTATATTTCTCCTACAGTTCAGTTACCATAAACAAATAAATTGGTAACGAAACGTGACATATTTTTACACAGAAGTGAACTTTTAATATGACATTTAATGATACCGTACTATACAATAATACAACAGCTGACCAGCTGATTTACAGCCAGTGCTGTCAACGTATTTCGCACGTATACGACCTTGTCTGCATGTTACGCGCTCACTATTTCGTGCCTTCACGTTGCAAATCTGGAGCGAGTGAGACAAAGTAATTAGAGTGAGACAAAGTAATTAGAGTGAGACAATGTTAACATAGTCTCACTGATGAGCGAATTGGCCAATTTGCTTCCTCAAATCAGTGAGAGAACATGTAAATTGTTAGGTAATTGTAGGAAAAATATATTAAATGAAACTCTTCTCAATTTTGTAACGTAAAATTAACAGAAAATGAACAAAATATATACCATATATTAAATAAGCAAGAAACAGATTTGTTTTGCGAAGCATGTTTATAGCGCATGATAAATTTGCCTCCTTGTTTGTGGCTTGTTGTATAAAATCTAAAGAAGACAATCGTTTAAAATACAGCGGTAACAGACTATTATTTTGACCTGTTAGTAGCCTAAGAGGTGGTTGATTATGTATATAGTTCTATAGACTGGAATTGCAAGTCGCATTATTACTGTATGCGTCGCGTCGTCGCGTCGTATGTCACCAAACTGAGACAGGCGGACAACAGCTGATCATTATCACAATGTCGCCAGCACCTGCTTCTCATTGTCGGCGATGTCAACTTTCACACCAGTTTAACTCGTGTTTAATTGTGGCAAACTTTTAATTCCTCTTACTCCTATTCACCTGTCAATTAGTTTTACACCAATTACTCAAGGAATCAAAGACAACGACAATCTAACAAATAACCACTTTGTATACATAAAAACTAAATCCTTACATATAAGAAACTAGCTGTACCCGCGGGCTTTGCCCCGTTTAACTTCTTAATTTCAAGATAAGCTCGTTCGCATGGTTCAATCACGTCCTGGTTGAAGTTAGTTCGCTACTCTCACTCACTTTTAGGTTGGAGCTCGTTCGCTGTGCTCACTTGCCTTCAGGTTAGCTCGTTCGCTACGCTAACTCGCCTCCAGGTTGAAGTTCGTTCGCTACGCTCACTCACCTTTTGGTTGGAAATTAGCTGTTGTCATAAATAAAATAGCTTATTCCCTATATGGGAAATTCGCTAAAAGAATTATAGTGCTGCACCCTGTTGGTAATCCTTGTAACTTTAATGCTATTGCACATCATAGAACAGAACCAACTTGTTTAATTGAAACAGCTGTTAAGATTCATTAATCCCATTTAAATATGAGTACTCATAAGGTTAACATGGGAAACTCCAGAGCCACTGCGGCGGAGCCCGAGAGTCCGATCAGAATAAAAACTACTTAGTTTTCCTATTTAATGCCTAAAGAATCAGTGTACCAAATTTCAGCCTCCTAGGTAAATGGGAAGTGGGAGAATTAGTGATGAGTGAGTGAGTGAGTGAGTCAGTCAGTCAGTCAGTGAGGGCTTTGCCTTTTGCCGACTCTTCATACAAATCTTCTTTTGGTGTTAGATTATACCAATATACCATTTCTTGAACACTTCTTCTGGTTCTTGTTGCTAGATGATACATATGACAATAAATGATGCTATAAAGTGTCAAAACTGTTTGTTGTTTGGCTTTGTTTTAGTTAGCCAAAACAAAGTAAATATATGAGTTTACCTAAATACTCGCAAATATTGAAATGAACAAAACAACATGTTCATCAATATGTTTTTTGTAATGCGGATAGGTCCAAAGTTTTTTTTTAACTTTTTGATGTTGAACAGTTTTCTAGTGTTTACGAAAGCAATTTTTTGCCTCCACAAAAAGCTACAAACATGAATTTTTTTTGCAAACTCATTGGGACATTAATAAGCTACATCTAAAGTACATAGATATTAAAGCGTATTCAATTTCACACCATCAACTACTTATAATGTTTGTGATATTTCGTTTGTCTTTGTTGTCATAGTAACCAAGTAAATAGAAAATAATAGCAATTAAGCTTTAATATCTATGGCATGTACAGTAATACTACGACGTAATGCTTGATATATTTCATTGTTGCCATAGTAACCAATAAACATAATGACTAGGTTATCTAGGTCACTATAACGTTAACTACGACACTTAATCAATGACTGTCATTTGGATTAATTTCAGTTTCAATTTTCAGACTTTCACTTGATACTTCCCGGTTTATTAAATTTGAAAGTAATTTTTTAAAATTGCAGTTTCTATTGACACAGATACAGTTAGTAATCTTTATCGGAAAAATTGATTCCTTGAATATTTTTGATAGGTAAATAATGAGGAGGACGATTATGTTAATACTAAGAGAGGATTGACTGTTATACAATATGTACGGGATCGTAAAATATTGTTGTTGGTATTTTGAACTTAAGACAATTCGTTAAAATTGAAATCGTTTTTAAAATTATTTTATTATAATAAATTACTGATTTAAATACATTATTTAAAATTCCGTTCAATATACAGGGTGACAAAAAAGTCTGGAAACGGTTTAATATCTTTTTAACTAAATTCGTTAGAAATTTCAAACCTTCCACATCAACTTACATGTATAAAAACTACTTTTTCCAAGAATTATCATTTTTTTACCTCTACCAGGGGACGACCCATGAGGAGTAGGTACATAATCTTTAATGTAAGCATAGGTTGATATGCACATCATTTTAAAGTTCTGGTCAAGTGGAGTTCATTGCCGGAAACCGCGCCAAAAAAGGTTGATCCGTTACAAAATGGCG